GGGCAAATGGCACGAGGGCAGCAGCCTAGAGCCAGAGCATCCTGCTCCTCCTGGGGGCCCTGGTGGCAGTGGGGACCAGGACCAGGCTTTCCAGCACATGTTCTGATGGCCATGGCTTTGTTCAGCATATCCTCATTTTCTTGCAAAGAGCGAAGCCTCCCCAGCCAGTGGGAGCTCCAGCCTGCACTGTTAATGCTTCTGCTTCACAACATGGTTATCTGTTATGGGCTTCTTTTGGCTAATGGGAAGGGTCTAAGCTGTGTTAGGCAATTTCCCTTCCTCTTAAGGAGACTGTATCACAGGACTTAATATAAACTTAGAAACTCAGATATCCTTTGGTATATCCTTCCTACAGTGACCGACATCCACCACCGCTCACAGTAAGAGGATTGAGATCTCAACACTCTTACTCACGGTCAAGTTGTGTGCAGAGCTTAAAAACCTGCAGACAAAATATTTGGTCCATAGAGGAAGTTAGTGAAATAGGTTTTCTGGCTTCCGCATTTTTCCCGGCACAAGTATGCTAGTGAATAGGCTTGGTTTTTGCATCCTAATGCTGACAGTGCCCATGGCCCTGGCTTCCTGAGCTTGGATGTGGCATGGCTTGCTCTTCCTGTCTCTTGTCGTTCCGCAAGTGAAGTATCTGTTGTTTTGCCTGAAGGAGGGAGCTGAAGCACGATTACTTTTTGCTGCCAGCCCAGGCCATGATATCTGTGAAGTGCTCTTCCTACCACCTTGCTTCTCGGTGCATGCTGATGGGAGATGCCGCGCATGCCGTTGTGCCCTTCTACGGACAGGGCATGAATGCAGTAAGTTCATGGCTGGCCCTGGGCTGTGTCAGTTGGGTCTCCACTCTTTTCACCCAAAAATGCCTGGTTTTAGAGTGTAGCTCCATAGAGTTCACGGGCTGGCCTCTCCCAGTCTGATGTCCTCTGCATTGGCATGTGTAGAAACCCCCTCAGGCATCTGGCTGCTCGCTAGGACCCAGCTGTCCTCCAGGGAGGAGAGGGGACTGGGTCGTGGTGCCGCCTTCCCATAGGGCAGAGGACTGCGTGGGAGGGGGGTCCAGCAGGGCAGCCCCAGACTGCTAGGAAAGGCAACCCCCCTGGAGTTCTCTGCAAGACCCCTTGCAGAGTGGCCTGGAGTAAGACTCCTGCTCTGAAGCTATGGTCAGTGAGACCCTGCGTGTGCCAACAGCTACACTAGCTACACACCAGTGAGAGCCCTTGTCGTGAACGAGGGGTTCCTTCTGCCTATTTACACTCTAATTTTCCTCCCAGGGCTTTGAGGATTGTCTGGTCTTTGATGAATTAATGGACCAGTTCCACAACGACCTTGGTGAGTGAGATGGCCAGGGAGGAGAGAGAGCAGAGGGGGATCCCTCTGCAGCTGAAGGCAGCTGGATGCCCTGCTGGGGAGCTGCCTGGGAGCTGCTGCTTTCTTCTCCCAGGTGCCTGCCTCCCTGAGTTCTCCAGGCTGAGGGTGCCAGATGACCACGCGATCTCGGATTTAGCCATGTACAACTATGTAGAGGTAGGCAAGCTGCACACAAGACTTGTGGTCCCGTGGGCTGTGCATGCAGCAGCACTCTGTTAGGATGCACACAGTGGGCAGGGGCTCTGGCAAGACTGTGGTTGGGCTCTCATCCCGGCAGACTTTAGCTCCTTGGGAATGCGATTGGGGCCGGGAGGGATTTGCTCCCTGCAATGACCCCCAGGACAGGCAGCAGGAGAGCTGGCAAAATGCAGGGGAGCTCTGCCAAGATGCCCTGCCAAGCAGTGATGGTTGCTCTGTTGCAGATGCGCAAGCACGTGAATTCAACGTGGTTCATTTTCCGGAAGCATGTAGACAACTTCCTCCACATGCTCATGCCTTCCACCATTGTCCCGCTGTACACCATGGTAAGGCTAGCAACTTGGTCCCCACTGCCTGAGCCACCGTGAGCTCCTCCTGGCTGGCTTTGAGGCGGTGATGTGCTCCTGCAACCCTCCTAGGTGACCTTCACCAGAATTCGCTACCATGAGGCACTCCAGCGCTGGAAATGGCAAAAAAAGGTTGGTCGGTGGTGGTGCCCATCCTTCCCAGGCCATGAGCTTCATAAGCAGCCTGCATGCCAGCACTGATCAGCTGCAGAGGGGGGAGCTTTGGTGGTGGGATATTGCCAGATGGGTGGAGGTGTGAAGACTTCACTTGGTGCTGCAGGGTAGGAACAAATCTCTCACGATGACGGAGTTTCTCTTTGCACTTGCAGATAATAAATCGAGGGCTCTTTGTCATGGGGGCAGCAGGACTGGGTGGCATCTGCTTGCTCATAAGGCGGCTGGCACGGGACTTGGGCTTCTCCATGGAAAACTTGTGGAGCCGGTCACATTATCTGAGGAATATTGGAAATTTTCCCTTTGGTACTCAAGTAGCTCAAATGTGAGGGGAGCTCCTGGTTGTAATAAAAGTGAAGCCAAGGGCTGTTGGCTCAGCTGGGTGATGTTTCTCTTGAGATGTGGGCTGGCAGCTCCTGCAGCCCCTCTGCCTCGTGCCCTCCCAGGAGCAGTGGTAGTCCCTCTCATTCTCCCCAGGTGAGAGGAGCCCATCAGAACACAGAGTGCTCAGAGAGCCTTTGCAGGGGCTCAGGCATATCTCTGCCCTATCTCAGCAGCTTTGTCTCCAGTGATGCAGTGTGTCATGGGCTGGGTGTGGGTTTTGTGTGCAGTAATGGGGGGAGCATCTGCCCTTCTGGCCAGCAGGATGGTGACTTGAACCGGTCACAGTGCCCCAGCCCCTACTGCTGACTTCTGCTCTTACCAAAATCAAGTCAATAACTTGAAAATCAGCCAGCTTCCTCCCTACCCCAAGCCAAAGAGAATATGGTTCATTTATTCTTGATGGAAGCAAAACAACTTTAAGAAAGGATGTCCTGGGGCAGTGCTTGAAGCCTGGAGAAAGGGCCGTTCCACACCTGGTGGAGAAATAATTCTGACTTTTGCAAGAAGGTCTCCACAGAGGGACCACCAAGCCTTTGGGCTAAAGCAAGACCAGAGGGGCCTGAAGGATCCTCCTAGCTCACTGTTTTCTCTCTGGGCTTTTGCATGTGCCCTAGCATATACTTCTGTCTAATGCAATTACTGATCACATTTCTTTTTGAAAAGGTCTGGATCCCTCATTGATTTTCTCTAATTGTCCTCCGAAGCTTGTGTGTGGTTGCACTTGTGCTGCACACACTACACCAACAGTAAGACCTGCAGCTGCTGAAAGAGGAGATAGTCTCTTCATGTTCGAGTAACAACAGCCTCTGCCTGGCTCCCTGACAATGGGCACTGCATCTAAGTCCCAGAGACCTTACGGGTGCCTTTGGTGCCTTTGTGCAGCCATCTGTGGGGTGCCCAGGACGTACACTGAGTTGGGACTCCTTGAGCCAAAACCAGCTGCAGGCTGCAATAGTACCGGGGGAAGTATCAGACACACTTTCCTTCTTCTTGCCTTGCCCTTAGACCCTCACAGTCACTGTTGAAGAACAGCAAAATTGCCTAGATTAACCCCTGACCTGACACGGACCAGCCACTCTTGTTTAAGGTGGTTTATGTACAGCTGTCAGCAGATGGGAGGGGACAAGAACTGGTTTGCATCATTTAGTGAGTCATTTTTGGTTTGCAGGGGACAGAGATGACAAATTAATGTAGAAGACAGTTAGTTTGTTCCTTTGGCCAGCATCTTTCCTGGGCACTGTATCTATGGCAGATGCTGGCAGCAACAACAGGGTTTTGCTGTTGTTTCTCTGATGAACACTTCAGCAGCTGCCCTTGCACCTGATTCTTAGCAGAACAGATGTATTTACTTTATATATTAATTTTTATTAATGATAAACCTCTTCAGAGAGCAAATGAAGATGCAACATAATACAGCTGTATGCAAATTGTTCCCAAACTGAAAGCAGATATGGAATTGTACCACTATTTCACAGGAATGACCCCACAATGCAAAAGCAATGAGCTGCTGTGCCTAGTTTGGAAAAGTGCTGAGCTGGAGATGCTCGCTGTACTGCTGGGTCTTTTGCACACCTGGCCCTCAGCACGTCTGATGCGCTTGCAGAGCAGGGAAGAGATCTAGCCCCAGGGATGGTGGAAGAAGCTGTGGTGAAGCTCTGAGCTGCAGGCAGTGTTTCATCCACTCAGTGCCGATGTTTCATAGCTCAAACAGTTGCTCCTTTGCCTCCTTGTCACAAAGAGGGCTCAAGGACTGGCAGAGAGAAGCTAAGCTTGCAGGAGCCCAAGTAGAACCTTGCCTGAGGTAGATCTGAGAGAAGACCGGCACCAGGAAGCAGATGATGATTCGGAAAAAAAGATTTAGTGCATGTTCCCTGGCTGCTCTTCATCTTCAGGTACTGGCGCTTACTAGCCCTTCAGGCCCATCACCTCGCTGCAACCTCCAGAGCAGATCGCCAGCCTGGAGAACCCTCCGCATCCAACCCAGCAGTGAGTGCATTAGAAATTAGAGCAAATACAGTGGTGGAGACAAGTGCAGCAGAGGAAGGCATGGAGCAGCCTGGGAGTAGATCCTGCTAGAGCAGAAGGGAAATGGCAGTTTTGAAATCCCAGCTCCAAATCAAAGCTGGAAGCACTCTGTGCACTCAGCTGGTTTTGGGGCTTGGTGTCCAAGACTCCTGCCAGAAGGCAAAGTTAGCATCAAGAGCTGAGACAGCCAGTAACCAGCTGTACAGGAGCCACTGTGTGTGCCTCCTGGTGAGACCTGCTCTGCAGTCCCATCCGCGGCAAAGCTGTGTCTGTTCACTTCTCCCAGCTCCACTAACCCAACCGCCAAGCGCTGCGCCAGAAGAAAGTCATGCTGCAGCCCCTCGGCTAGCGCCTGACATGCTAGCGGCCTCTTGGAAGAAGGGAACAAACCAACAGGATAAAGAAGAGGAGGTGGGAGCCTTAGCTTGAGATTTCCTTAGCTTGGCATTTCTTTATTTAATGGTGAGTCCTAGCACTGCTGGGTGTTGCTCCGCTTTATTGCCCATTGAACCTGGGGTTCACAACTGTGGTGGTGGCACTCTTGAAGAGGGGGTTATCAGCCTGGAGGGAGAGAGGTGAGAGTCCCTCATTGTTGCGGTCTGTCAGACTTTCAGTGGAGCATTACCCACCCCACCCTTCCCAATGTTGACGGTGCAGACAGCATTGGCAGAAGAGCCTACAGGCTGCTTTAGCCCCCTGCAAAATCCAGCTAGGCTGTGGGGAGGCCTCAGGTCTGCCACGGCTGGCTCTGGAGAGGATGTCTCCTCCAGGCGTCCCCAGCATATGTATGTGAGCATCCCAGCACAACCCTCTGCCACAGACAGGCTCTCTTACGTCGTTCCACTTGGCCTTGGACTTCTCTTTCTCAAACCGGTGGTATTCCCGGCGGTCAAACAGCTCCGTCAAAAGCCGCCAGATGAGCAGGAGCACCAGGCCAATGAGGGCCACGCCAGCAACAGTGCTGCCCACAATCAGCGCGATGTTGGGAGGTTCCGGGCACTCTGTGGGGGAGACAGACGGTGTCCAGCTGCAGCCCCTGGCAATGTGGTGAGGCCACCATGGCAGAGCTGGCAGCCTGCCTGCAGAGGGGCAGGAGGAGCAGGACTGGGGTACCTTTTGTAGGATCGACAGTGACGGTGTATATCTCATCGCCGTCCTCCTGGACCATGCGGAAGGAGATCCAGCAGTTGGCAGAGTCCTTCTCCCTGCACTGCTTGCTCACTGCTGTTGTCTCCGCAACCACCTGGATGTTCTGGCAGGCCTGGGAGCAGTTCTTCTCAAAGGGGCCGCTCTGGAAGGCCTTGCACTCCACACAGGAGCTGCAAAACAGGCAGCCACAGCTCACCTCTGCAGGTGCATATGCAGGGCTTGCTTGTGCCTGCCCAAGAGGTGGGGGGATCCCTGGTGCCCCCTGTGCCGTCTCCGCCGGCATCACTCACATGTATCTGCCGCAGGGCGAGGGGCAGCCGGGGCACTCCTGGCAGAAGGGGGGCTGGTATCCCTCCTGGCACTG